GTTTTTTAAAATCCGATGTGTGGATCACATAATATTTCAAAAATTTTAACTTTTGAGTATAGATGATCCGCACTGTACTAAAAATTCGGCCGTTTCACCAAAATTTGTTATGATAAATTTTTGGGGTTCAAAACAATCAATTTTCGTGTAACAAATTTTCAGGAGTCACTTTCTCAAAATAATTTAATATGACTTAAGCTACCTTTTGCTAGAAAACCCCCCATATAATAAACAAATTAGCTATACATATCTGGACACAAACTTGTGAGTGGGCAGGATTATATAAGGGGTTTTTTGTGCCATGGAATTATGATTGAAATAAAGTTCCATGTAAGTGCTTTCAATATTTGGGATAAGGTAAATTAATCAATAACCGTTTTTGTGTTGCATAATTTTGATTAAGATACAGTTTCGGGTAAGTGATAGGCTAAAGTGATCGCATAATGTATATGTGGTAGTATGCTTTGAGTAGTACTAGTAGAGACAACTTATGCTGAAAAATTTTGGGCCATCGAGGTGGAAAGGTAAAATTTCGGGACAGCAAACTGTGCAAATATAATAAGATAGTAAAGTATATAGGTATAATAGGTCAGCAACCTGCAGATATAGTTTGACCGTTTACTTATAAAAGAAAAGTTCTAGAAGCTAAAAACATATCACGCGATTTTTGGGACAGCAACATTGCATCAGTATCTGAAAGCTCTAGCTATGCGAGAAAGAGTTCTAGAAACCAAAAATATATTATGTTGGATTTTTGGGACAGCAGACCGCATAATTTTTATCGATAGCTGAAAACTGATTCAATCCAACCAAAAACTTTAAGAAAAGTGCAGTTTGCTGACCCAACGATTTTTTTTTCGCATTAAGTATTTTTTTTATATCTATATCCACTACACCATCCCCATATCAAATCTTGGCTGTTCCTATTCATCAAATAAAATCAGAAAACAGATATACTTATTACAATGCTTTGAGTATTACTAAGTGAAGATAACAATTCGGCACTACGTGCCTCATCATCAGGCGATATTTGAATGAATTATACAAAGCTAACAACTGCTAACATTCGGCACTACATGCCTCATCATCAGATGCTTTGGTGTATTACCAGATATGTTAATGATTCAGCACTATGTGCCTCATCCTAGATCGATATTTGAGTGCATCATACAAAGCTAGAATACGAATACTATTTTGGCACTATGTGCCTCAAACCTGGCTCTCATTGAGGAATCAACCAGAAAGCTAGGGCACTACGTGCCCAGTTCGAGCATAGCCCTCACATTGGGCCCACAAATGACGATATATGACTGAATGCATTGTCAGGTATATTTTTTTTGCCTATGTGAGCTGACAACGGAAATTGATCATGACTACTAAGCTGGCATACATTATATCGCATGTGGCTTGATATACAAAATATGCCACCTTCGTGTGTGTCATAAAAAGCAAAATTCACATCACTCGAGCATGACCTAAAATGCAAAACACATGCCATAGTGGCGCATGTCTCAGTGGTTCTCAATCGGCGATACAAATGTAACCTATATAGCACCGATGCATAGACTATAAACATCTCAAGTATGTGTCATAAAAAGCAAAATACATGTCATTCGAGTGTGTCATAAAATTTGAATCATGACTATACATGCAGCCCAAAGTATTTTGACACTGTCATAAAGGGGGTTACACATGTAGTAAAGGGGTGTCACCAGTGTGTAAATTTCAGTGTGTAACTAATGCAGATTTCTACAAATTTAGAAACTATCTGCAGAAAACTGCTAATGTACGATGTTACACCCGCACATTCCGCACATTGAATTTTATACACTGATCACTTCTAATTCAAAAAAAAAAACACAAATGTCTTCATCAAAGCCTAATGACAACAACATAGAGATTATACTTCATACAATTGCTATTCCAGATACAACATTTTTGGATGATGTTTTATCTGTTGAAACAGATGTTACATGGTGAATCTCAGTTTAATGTATAGACTGGGCAATTAAGGAAAATTTTCCAAAAACTGTTATATCAATTGAGATTTTAATTAGTATCTGTTAAATCAAGTCTCCTAAACTGAGATTCACTGTGTATTAATTAGGGAATTAAAGTTACTTAAAACTAGCCTTAAGCAGAAGAATAAACTGGATCTAAAAAATCTAACATAGTTTATCTGATCATTATATTAATAGAAAAAGCTCATACAAGAAAATATATCAACCAGACAGCATATAATGAGCATAGTGGAAATTTGTTTCATCCAATATGTTACACATATCCCATTTTCCTTGAAACTTCACTAGCATATAGTTTTCACCTCTCTAAGTTGGAGATCCAATTGAAGTCCAGTTTATCACCTACTTCCACTGTAACTTCTGTCTTGTTGGTTATGTTGATCATTTTTTAATTTAATGATCTACAACCAATTCCCACTATGCTTGTATATATAATGCTTGCAATAGATACATACAAAGAATGTTTATTTATATATTTGTTGTTAAAGGTAGGAGGAATAACAACACATGTTTAGTAAAACTTTTTAGCTCTTTATATGTATTTTAAAGATGATGATCATGAAGAGAAATTAACATCATTCATACATTTATATATTTGATTATTATAAATTTTTATATACACTACTAGATCTCTTTCTTTATATTAGTAGAAACAAACCAAATTCTGAAATTGATGTTTTGAGAAAAAAGATCAATTGATTGATTATTCATCCATCAACTCAATCATAATTGACATCATGTGTATTATAATTATGATTGGTGAGGTTTGGCCAAGTATGTGTAAACAAATCTGTTATTGTAATCATTACAAAGTTCTGAAAATATTATTGAATTATCATTGGCCAAAGAAATAAACCATTCAATGTTATTCCCATCTAATATCAAATAAAAAAAAAATAATAAATTTTATAATTTATGATATAAGGTATTTGTGTTTTATGATATTATACTGACTTGAACTCCAATAAAAATAGCCACAGGAAAAAGAAAAGTCCAATTATCACTTGTACTAAGATATAATATAAGAGTTTGTGTAGGAGAGAAATAACTATAAAAAATTATATTGTTATTATTATTATGACAATTACCATAAATACTAATGCTATAATAAATACCAGAATAATTCTAAAAAGAAAAATTGTTGTTCCCACATCTTCAAGACCCAAACAGATTTTTCCTTTCTTGTCATTCTAGAATATCACTATATTATAGAACATTAGAAAATTTAATGATATATATATTTCATATTCAAATTAAAATTATTTACCCCTTCTCTAAATTTAATTTTTTTAATTTAGTATTTTGACTTTTAGGATTTATCTTTGTAATAATATTATTAAAAAATTATAAATATTTGCATAAAAATATTTAGGATTATAATTTGAAATTTCATCCACCTTAGCATTATGTTGGAATAATTGTAATTCCCTTGATCTTGTAAAAACATATAACCCATTTATCATACTTAGATATAATAAAACCATTTTATAATCTAAAAACTATTAATTATTAAATGACAAAATTAAACTCATAATAATAATTATCGTTATTATATTGTTTAAATCTATTATTTACCTTAAAATCTGGATTTTTAGAAAAGTTATAATTAAAAGATTCATCATACCAACACTTAAATTTAAAGAGAATTATTATCAAATTTAATACTATTGCAACTAGTAAGCTAAAAAAATCAATTTTATTAATAACATTTTCAAAAATTAAAATACTTAAAATATCTTACCCATTCATTCTAGTTTTTTTAAAAAAAGTCATTTTAGTTGCACAAGCTTAAAAAATATAATTCCATCAAAAAATGTCCCAATCAAATGAAAAAAAAAAGAATTTGAAAAAAAGAAAAAAGAATTTTAAAGATTCAAAAAAAGTAAGTGCGAATATTATTCTATTTTCCCTCTTGAGGAAACAATTTTAATTAAACTACTATTCAAAGTTAATAAAAAATGAAGAAATTAATGAAGAAACTGATGATGAAGAAATAGAAAAAGATGACAATAATAATCATAAGAAGAGAGAGATTAAATTAGATGTATTGAAGAGAGGAAAAAATTTTGCTGATAAAGATATGATGATAAATTTAATCAACCAGCTTAATTCAAAAGAAGACAAAAAAATAGAGAAAAAATTGGTAAAAATATATATATGTAGAATATATTTTACAGAAAATATATAATGCAAAATATAAAAAGCTTACAAATATTTTAATAATTTCTATTTAGAAAATAACTAAGGAAAAGAGCAAAGAAAAGGATATAAAAAAACAGCAAAAACAATCACTAAAGAAGAAAAAATTTGAACAAATGAAATCAATGCTAAAAAATAAAAAAATAAAAAAATAAAATTATTGATATGAAAAATAATCATCTAATTGCTGTGCATCACATAGAGATCAATTAATTATAAATTGAATCTTCAAAATCCACTTAGCTATTGGATTGTCACCCTTTTGGGTGCTAGGTGATATTCTGGAATGTCAACTTTAGTCTTTTGAGTTTGAATGAGTCCTCTATATTTTCATCTGGTTCAATAATATTCCGAATTCAAAACAATTTACAAGTCTCAGAGGTGGTTTTTATTGTGAAATGCCCCATATTATATCATCAATAAATTGAACTGACTTTTGCATATAGTATATGAGTGCATCCAATAATTTGCTACATCTGCATATAATTCACATGGTTTGTCTTTTGTATATCTATAAACACAACCTTTAGTATTACAGCAATCCAAGTTCATTTAACTAGAACAGCATCTATCTGATACAAAAAGAGAAATTGGGTTTTTGGATAAAAGAATTTAAGCCAAGAAGTTTAGGAGTAGAAATGCCACACAAATTAGTGTGAATAAAACTGTACTAAATATTTTAAAATATCATCATTTATTTTATCAAGAACAACTAGGAATAATATACATCAAAAAAAGAATTGATGAAGAAGGATGGCTGTAATGTAGAACCAACTCCTGGGCAATAATTTTAGAATCAATTGTTCTAATATTATATTATAAAATTCATATGCATGTCTTATTGCAGAACTAGGTTGACCTCTATAAAAAAATTGTCAAAAGCTTGAAACTTTTATTCAATTGCAAATTTTAATCCATAAACTGGCAAGTAGAGTTCCAATGAGTTGGAACAGCCAAAATTTTAATTCTGGATTTTTGTGAATTTTGTAAAAAAGTCCACAATCATGAATTCAACGTTGTCCTCATTTCTATTGAAAAGGTACTATGTGGCAGTCTTCTTTGGGAATGAATGGGCCCATTTAAAGCAAATAAATAATCATCAAAATATTTTTCAGAAAGTAAATTAGAAATACAAATATTTATGATACATGTCATTTGTGGGAAGAAGTTATTTATTATAAAGTTCCAAGTTAGAGATCTTCCCACATGCCTTAAAATTTAATTGTTTGTTAAATTATTTAACACCTCACAAAAAATTCTTTGGTATTTTTAACAAACCTTTAGCATTATAATTATTAATTACCTTTATTCTGACATCCAAGATGGAAGATTTGATCAAATCACAAAAATCTATCTTTATTAATAATTGGCAAAGCAGTTTATATCATCACTTCTGTTAACATAATATTCATGATGCTGGGTCTGTAAAATATTAAAGATTAGTGAATCTTAAGATTATTGAATTATGAAGAAAAGTTACATACATATACAGTCTCCGGCGAAAGTAATGGCGGCGATAATTTTTTTAAAAACTAAAAATTTTTAATAAGCAACTATCAATAAAATTTTATTTTTAAAACGCCTCTAAGTAAAACATTATGCTTTTAAAAGCTTATAGTATAAAACGTTCTCCTCCTTTTTCAATCCCGGTTTGAATCTAATTTGAGCATTAAAAAAAATTGGAACTTTGGCTTTTTTAAAAAATTTTTAAATTTCATTTTTCTATTAAACTTTTTTTTTATGAAGTAAATGAATCTTTATACATTAAATAAAATTATTCAAAATGAAAAATTCCACGTATCCTAAAAATTTTATGAAGTTTGAATAAAAAATTTAATATGTTTTTATATTTTACGCTTTTACGAAATAGAAAAATCAAATTTTTTTACACAAATGTAAAATGCAAGAACACATCAAAAAATTTTCTCTAAACTTCATAAAAATTTTAGGATATGTAGAATTTTTCATTGTGAACAACTTTATTTAATATAAAAAGATCGATTTACTTAATAAAAACTTAGCAAAAATAATGTTTCATTGTACTGCCATTACTTTCGCCGGGGACTGTACATATCTTTCTTTATAATGAATTTTCATAATATTTGCCCAAAAATATATTATTAGAATCATCCTAAAAAGAGAGTCTAAGTTGGTTATAAAATATTAATATTTTTTATCTAATAATTTTCTCATCAATGTCTATAACTGTTTATTTTATTTATCATGAAGGGAATTTGGTCAAAATAAACTTCATTTGCAAAAGCAATATAGCTAGCTATAGATCTAATTTTATTTAGCTTTTTTAACAAGAGATTGGAACTGGTTAATTAACTAGTTAGACAGTTAACCATTTAAAATGGTTAAAATGCAGATCAATCTTAATTTGCAATTTGTGATAAATGGAAAGGATTGACATGCATTTTAGCCAAGAGGCAAAAGTCAAAACTAAATCAAAAGTCAATAGTTAAACATAAAACCAGTTTCGACTTATGGTGAAACCTTTTGACTTTCACACAGTTGTGAAACTCTCTAGTTTTGGGAACCAATACTAGTTAAATAACAAAACATCCCACTTTAAATCATAAATCTTTGTTTCAATAGGTGAAATGAAGCCATGTTCACATTAAAGTTTCTGGTCCAAACTGTTTTCTCAAAGCCCAAACTAGTTTGGGCAATTTGGGCTTCTCGGCATTTTTTATAAACATGAACATTAAAAAACTATACCAATCAACTTATTTTAACTTAAACAACTTTAAAGTAATTTCACCCAATTCGGCTAATAACAAAAAATAGTTTGGGCTTATAAAAAAGTAATTTGGCAATCAGCTATTAATAAAGAGAGTTTGGCTGGAAACCTTAGTTCACATTATCAACTAAATGCAAGAGAATAGAGAGTAAAAATGAAACACAACTAAATTGATTTCCTACCTATTGAAATCTTTGTAATTATAATTTATTGTCATCATACATTTGCTTTAGTGTTATTAACACTATTATTGTTATTATAGTTTATTGAAAGATAATATAACAGTTGATTCATAATGAGCAGACATATTAAAAGTCATTATATCAAGAGGGAAATTTCTATTCATTAGCACCAACTGTATCATATGGAATTTATATTTTCTGTATTGGTATGCTTCTCATAAATCACATATGTATTCCATATGTTCTCTACATTAATATGACTTTGATGACTGGCCACAGGTAGGATTTCTATTTAAATAAGATTTATTTGAATGATTCATAATTAACTTTGAGCATTTGAATCACAATGAATGATTATTCAAATCAAACAAATCAAATGAACTCCTATGTGCTTTACAAAAGATCAAATTGTCAAATATTATAACTCATAGTTATGACACAGCTATGCTATAACTATGTTGTAACTTTTGGAATGATTTTCTGTATGCCATAACTGCTTATCTTTTATTTTAACCTGAATTAGGTAATCAAAAATAATTTAGGTACAGTCAAACACTATAATCAAATTTTGTCATAAAATTTGTTTCACATATAATAACATATTAAATCTGTTGTGGAAAGATTAGTAATTATAATCTTGCCACAACAGATTTTTAAATAAAATTTTCCTATTGTTATGTGCCCTGTTCATCTGCTGTGACAAGGTTTGACTGTAACCTTACTAAGTGATCATATGACATAACCTCAGGTGTTTCATATGTATGCACTCTTAGTTTCAAGGTGAGTGCTAAAAAAAATCAATTAAAAAAATAAGTTCAAAAGTCAAAAGCTTGCTAGAAGTTGTGTTTTGTACAGTAACAGTAAATCCAAACCAAAAGATGACAGCTGAAAATATGCACAAAGGACTTTTGAATGTGTAGAATACAGAGGGCCTGATTCACTAGAAAAACAAATGGTATTGTTCACTTTGGATTTATTTATGTCCAATAAAAATAAAGAAAAAATATTTTAAAACGTAAATTTGACTAGTTTTTTAATTCGAATCTGTGGGAAAGCCAAAGTAAAGTCTTTTTTAGATGGTTTGTTGCATAATTTGCATAATCGTACTACACAAATTTAATCTGCTTTAGAGATGTGATCCATGGATGATCAATCTGGATATCTCTCTTTAACTTATTTGCAACATGGACAATGATAATTATAATAATAATTATAGTGATAATATGAACCTACAGTCAAACCCTCATTTCAATGAATTTTATATTTAATAAACTATACAATGAATAATAAGTACCAATCACATTATAATGAATCCACATGATATAAATTTAAAAAATAAAAAAAAAGATGAATGCAAACAACAATAATAACAAAAACAAGATAACACAACATCATCAAATTCCAAAAAATCTATATAAATAAAGATTAAAATCTTTCTTCTATCAAATTCTTACAATCCTACACAATTAAAAAATTTCATGAATAAAACTCTTGAAAATGTCTCAACAACAATAATCATCATCCATTAAAAAACATGTATATATTTGATTTAAAATTATTTGTTTTTAATGTAATAATATAAATTTATTATAAAAATCATTTTTTTAATAAATGGCGCATAATTTGCGTAATCTACCATGCCGCACAAATCTGGAGTCTCTAGTCTTTTTATCATTAATCAAGTGGTGTGATACGCAAGGTTACTATATCTATTCCTCTTATGACATAATAGATCTGCGAAAAGTTTTTCCTAAATCTTTATTAAATCCAATAGGGTCGGGTTTTTCCAGGACCATATACAAATTTGGTATTTGTATAATCTTGTACGTTAAAAACAAAAACACTAAATTTTTAATTTTTAATTTCTTAAGATTTCTTTTTAACATTTAATACTTTGGAAGTAAACAATGGAGCAAATAAAGTAAATAGAAAAAAATAAAAATATTATTTTTATTTTATTCTAATTATACTATTCAAAAAAAAAAAAAGAAGCATTAACAAAATGGTTTTATTGTTACCAAAATTTTTGATAATTTTTATATCAATAATTGCTTTATTAATAACAATAACAGTAGTATCATTATTGTCTCTTCCAAAGCTTGGATTAATACCAGAAAAGAAACAACTTACCGGATATTTTTTACACATTACAGATTTTCACCCTGATGCTTATTATGAACCAAATGCTATAGTAAAATCAAGATGTCATCAAAGATTATCAGAGCTT